CACTACAGTAAAAATTGTTGAATTTGGTGGCACTTGGGACAAAAGGGTATGGGGGTTTGGAACAATAGCAGTGTCCTTTATGGTTACTTCATTAACAGCACGGAGGTCCTGTACCATGCGGTACTGGTCGGGTTGGCCCTTAACAGTGCGCTTTTTAACAGGGAAAAGTGGGGTGTTGCATGGAGATGTGCACTTGGTGAGGGCACCTTTGGCAAGCAGAGATTCAACTTGTTTGGTGATGGCTTCAGCTTGTGCTGGCTTCAGAGGATACTGAGGTCTACGAGGAGGAAGTGCTCCAGGCAGGAGCTGGACCAGGACGGGGGGTACATGTAGGCGTCCAATATCATCCGGGCCGGTGGACCAAAGTTCTTGGGGGATACGATCCAGAGCACTGGGGGGGGGTGTGACCCGTGCATTTCCTGTATTGTCAGTTAGGTTCAACAAGATGGGGAGTGAGCATAGTACAGAAGTATCTTTTTGTGATAAGGGGGTTGTCAACTCAACCTGTCCATCTGCAGTAAAGGTAATGGAAGCCTGGAGCCAAGAGAGGACATCGGCACCTAGGAGGTTAATGGGGCAAGTAGAGGAAACAACAAAACGGGACAGGATGTGTGAACCTACATGTAAGAGCTTGGTAAGGGGGTTACTGCGTGGTGTACCATCCACCCCAACACAGGAGACATCGGTGTCAGACAGGAAGGAAGGGTCGGGCAGGTCTTGTTCCCTAAGGACACTACGGGCTGCACCTGTGTCAACTAAAAAGGTGGTTGGGTGACCCTCCACGGGGAGAACTACAGTAGCTAAAGGTCCTCCCCCATCCCCCGCAGACACTGCCATGGCAGGGGTTGCTGACACAGGCTTGCCAGTTACCTATTGCAATAAATCTAGGTGGGCCTGATCTGGTCCCTGGTACCGGCGGGAAGTGGAAGGAGGGGTAGCAGTGTGCATGGGGGGACGGGACGGACGGAGGGCATGGCGGGGATGAGGCTGGTTGTCTTGGAAGTCATCGGTATCATACCCTTCAGCGGAGGGCGAAGTGTATGCACGGGCTTCTGCTGCAGGGAGCCGGGCTTGGGAGTATTCAGGAGGCGGAGGAGGAGGAGGAGGAGGTGGAGGAGGAAGCTGAGGCAACTGCGGATGGGGTAGGGCAGGGAGATAACCAGTGGAGGGGACGTTGTAGCTGGTGACATGAGGAGTTTGGTACCGGAGGGTCTGCTGGCGATACACTCTAGGGTGTGGGCAATCTCTTCTAAAGTGACCCGGCTGATTACAATTAAAGCAGGTCCGGATTGTCGTGACAGTCCGGTCACGGGAGAAGGGAATTGGTGCAGGCAGTGTCTGGGGGGACTGGGTGTACTGTTGGGGGAGCATCTGTGGTCCCTGGTTTGGACCTACAATTGGGGCGGAGGCAGCATACATCAGAGGACTAGTTCTACGCTGTGTAGGTAGCAAAACAGATTCTAAGCCCTTGGCTACCAATAAAAGAGTGTCCAGTGGAATAATTCTATACTCAGGCCGAGCTAAAATTAAACCCTTACGAATGTGTTCCCTAAGCCCTGCCACAAAAGCTGCAGACAGCATCTGGGTGTGTGCTTTGTTGTAAGTACTGAACCCTAAGTCTGAAAAAGTCTGAGTCAACCTAGAGTGATACTTTTCAACTGTCTCAAGTTTGTCCTGTAGTATGTCATTAATGCAAGTAGCCTGATCTGCTAGTTTATCCTGTGCCCAGGCATGAAGCTGTTCACCAAAAATTTCACCAGAACGAAAGTCAGTATCAGAAGTAAGTGGAGCGTCATTAAAGCTCCGTTCCATGATTGGCCAGTATGCATCTCCAGCCTTTATTTCACATAGACTAATAAGATCCCGCCAAGCAGCGGAGTATGTTTTACGGATCTGAGCCATCCTGCGGAAAAAGGGCATGGGGTGTTTTTCAGGATCAGGGAGTGAGGTCACGAGGGTAGCAGCTTGGGAAGGGTTGAAGGTAACATACATAGGCGGTGCACCATCCGCACCATGGTTGATCTGGGTATATCCCTGAGGAATAGGGTGCTGGGGGGGAAGCCTATTCACCCCTAGGTGGGGTGAATTCTGGTCAACCACAACGACCTCTTCGGGCACCACTGGGCCACGGTGAAGAGTAGTCTCAGGGGTAGCTGTAGCGGGGACAACAGGGAGGGCGGTGATAGGTGAGGTAGTTGGGTGGAAACCCGAGGCCTGGGGGGAGGCACCCATCGCATAGGGCTGGTCAGATGTCCCAGACACCTCGGATCCAACCACCATGATTGGGTAACTAGGACTGGCGGAAGGGACACGAGGGACCAAAGCTGTGGAAGGGGCTGTCACGGGGGCCGGTTGGGTTGGGCGTGAAAGGTGGGTGTTTAGGACATGTGCAAGGGCAGAGATCGGATCGGAGAGCTCGGAGATATCGGTATGAGTCAAGGGTGGGGTCGGAGGCTCGGGGGGAGGGGGAGGAGGAAGAGGAGGTACGTCAATAGGAGGCGGCACGGGGATCGCGGAAGTATCCAGGGAGGTAACAGCAGTGAAGAGGGCGGATATCGAGCTAGGCAGGTCACTGGTCATGGGTGCATCAGGGGTCATGGGGGAAAGGGTCAAAGGGATGGGATCAAGGGGCTGCGACAAGGTCGGGGGGGCAGGGATGTCGGGAGGAGATAACACGGGAAAAGGGGCTGGAGGGATAACAACGGGGGGTTGGGTTAGGGCGGTGAGGGCAGAGATTAGGGACGGCAAATCGGCCGCGGGAGTGGGAGGCAACGAGGTAGAGGGGGCTGGAACTTCAGGAGGAGGTAACACTGGAGGAGGGGTTGGAGGGGTGGTGGCAATGGGTTGGGTCAGGGCGGTGAGGGCAGAGATTAGGGACGGCAAATCGGCCGCGGGAGTGGGAGGCAACGAGGTAGAGGGGGCTGGGACTTCAGGAGGAGGTAACACTGGAGGAGGGGTAGTAGGAGAGTCCTTGAGGATGGGAGGGGTATCTGTGGGTAAGGGGGCGGAGGCAAGGGAACCGGGATTAACGGGCTGGACAAGATTCAGGAGAGCGGAGAGTAGGGACGGGGGATCCTTGGAAAAGGAGGAGGAGGAGAGGGGATGAGAAGGAGTGGGGGACAATGGGAATGCAGGGGTAGGGGTCACAGGGTTTCCTAAGGGTACCGGAGAAGGAGAGTCAACTGGGGGACAGGGGTCCGGGGAGACGGGGTCGGTTGAGTGGGTGGGAGTGGGGGGCGTAGGACGTAGGGCGGACGGAGAGGGTGAGGGAGCAGGGATTGCTAGGGACGGAGTACTCAGGGTGGAGAGGGACTGAGAGGAGGAGGAGGATGGAACTTCGATAGCCGAGGCGGGAGTGGTCGGGGCAGAACTCGGAGTAAGGACAGGCACTGGGAAAGGTAACGGAGGGCATGGAGGTGAGGGAGCTCCGATGGACATGACAGGATGATGGTTGAAAGAGGGGGTTTGGTCACAGGAGGGTTGGTGCATGGGAGTGGGTGGGAACGAGTGATGTGGTACTGGGAAATAGTAGGCTCCATCTACACCAAGTACGGGACATAGGGGGGTGGGGGCTGAAGGCACACCCCCGGGGGGTGGGGTCTGTGCTGTGACGGGAGAAGCAGGGCGGGAATTTACTGTTGCGCTCTGGGCGCCATCATAGGGTGGTGGCCGTGGAACAATAGAAACAACATCATCATTGTGAACACTCCTATGGTAAACATGCACGATTTGCCCTTCAAATTCCAACTCTTCCTCGACCCATCCTTCCCGTTTCAAACCTCTAGCTACACGATACCAAGCCTCTGCAACCTTTGTGAGTCCGTTATCCAACAATAAACCTTCCTTGTCTATGAGTAGCTTTCTCCAAAACTCCGGCTGCAATCTCCCACTGGGCAACATCTGGAAGCCACAGACCTTAGCAATCTTTTTAAGTTTCATCATTGCATCTTCCCCTGCCCTTTCTTTCACAATGTCACAAGCCAACAAACCCTTAGCAGGTCTAGCATGCTCCTGCCCCATCTTGACTAATCAAAGCGTGCCACTCTTTAGAGACAGATGGATAGAGAAGGTATGAGGAACGAGGGAAAAAAGAGTGTCTACAGTGCTCGACTGCCACGAGAACTTGAGCCCCGTGCGTCTTCCCCAAACGTAGACTAGTCACGGAGATCCGCCCACCCGGGGTGGTGGTCACGGACGGGAGCGAATGAGCGTGGGTGACTAACACAGCTCTGGGCTACAGGCACAGGAGAGATAGAGCACAAAAGAGAAGATGAACGTGGCTGCGCTAATGAGAAGACATTTGCAAAAATCACAAACATATAAATGAGCATAAACTCCGGAATCCAGAACTAACCACACAATACACACACACACACCAAGGGTACCCACGCTGTAACAACAATTAAACAAAAACCACAGAATGACAGAAAGTAAAATGGCCATGTACATGTTAAAGCCACCGGTGCCAAATAATTGAAGTATAGCAATCCTCAGCCTTCACCCACCAGGCTGGTCCCAGTATAACACAGGTACTAATGGGAGCACAGTAATAAACAAGCAAAATCCCAGCCCCACCGGCTGTAAAATCCCAGCCCCACCGGCTGTAATGCGTCCCCTGCCCGCTAGGCAGTCAAGCTAACTTAAAATCCCAGCCCCACCGGCTGTAAAATCCCAGCCCCACCGGCTGTAAAGTCCCAGCCCCACCGGCTGTAAAATCCCAGCCCCACCGGCTGTAAAATCCCAGCCCCACCGGCTGTAATGCGTCCCCTGCCCGCTAGGCAGTCAAGCAAACTTAAAATCCCAGCCCCACCGGCTGTAATGCATCCCCTGCTCGCTAGGCAGTCAAGCTAACTCATCAAAGGTATGAGAAACACACACACACACAAATGAATACAGGAGGCAGATAGACAATCGACAGGTTCACCTTAAAAAAAAGGCACACCGGATGAGTTAATTACCTGTCTCTAGTAGCCTTCTGGAAGCCGGAAGTGGACTCGGAGACAGACCGACACAAAACAGGAGAATAACACAGGCAACGGCTGTATTATGGAGGTGATCAGGCTCCGCTTGTCCCACTTTCCGGAGGTCCGCTCCGGTCCGTTGGTTCCGGCCCTCCGAACCGGCCCTCCGGTGTGCCCCACGTTGGGCGCCAATTGAAATGGGAAAAATCAATCAAAGTATTGATTATTTCTTTGTGTATCTGCCCCTGGCCAAATCAATGAAACAATGCGTGCACGCTCCCTGAAGTAATTCACACCAGACACAGGTTCCAGGTTGTTGAATAACTTGAGGAATGTTTATTCAGGGGGGACGGCAGGTCCCTTTTAAAGCAAAATTACATCATAAGCATTGTCAGAGATAACATGGGATAATACATCAATAATTGGTTAGGTGTTAAGTGGTTGCTCTAATGCTCTGCCTACTATAGGTGATGTCACCGGGGCCATGAGGGTCTCCCACGGTTTCCCGGCGCCATCTTGTTGCACGAGGTAGTTAGTTGGTGTTATGAAGGGAGGGAGGGGGGAAGAGGGTGGAGGGGCTAGAAGCTTCTAGCAGCCATTTTGATTAAACATGTGTGCTTAACTCTATAACATATTGTGAAATGAGTAAATAGACATTTTCTCTTAACTAGGAAATATGTGTAGACCTTATTTCCACAACAGTGATATTGCCTTGTTGTTTCAGCGCTTGACTGTGGATTCGTTTCTGAACCAGCGGAATTCGTGGATTTATTATTGGCGTTCCGCTACACTGTTGATGAGGGTAAAAGAGGAGAGTGCAAAAGCTGGATTGCTGCTTAACATTAAAAAGACTAAGATTATGGCAAACAGCAATCTTATTTCCTGGCAAATAGATGGGGAAGAAGTGGAGGCAGTGACAGATTTTATTTTCCTGGAATCCAAGATCTCTTCAGATGGTGACTGTAGTCATGAAATTAAAAGACGTTTGCTTCTGGGGAGGAAAGCTATGGCAAGCATGGACAAGCTGGTAAAAACTAAAGATATTACACTATCAACATAAGTCCGCATAGTCAGAACTATGGTATTCCCAGTAGTAACATATGGATGTGAGAGTTGGACTATAAAGAAGGCTGAGTGTCGTAGAATTGATCATGAGGCTGAAGCTCAAATATTTTGGCCTCATAATGAGAAGGCAGGATTCTCTAGAGATTCTCTAGAGAAGACTCTGATGCTGGGAAAGATTGAAGGCACACGAAGAAGGAGAAAACAGAGACGAAGATGGATAGATGAGGTCAATCAAGCAACAAACATTTGGTGGAGCTTAGAGGGGCAGTGACTGACAGATGTACCTGGCGTGCTATGGTCCATATTTTCACGGAGAGACGGACACGACTCAACGTCTAAACAACAACAACATATCACCCAGCAATATTATTATAACTTGAACATTGCAGTTTACACTTATATAACTATTGGGAACTGCGTCTGAATCATATTACATTGCTCCTCATGCCCAACACACTGTGCCAACCCCTTTCCCTCACCCTTTAGTTCCTGCTGGCTCAGGTTCTCTGGCCTTGTTCAAACTTGGAGTTCTCCCGCGGTTTTGGTCACTATTTGGTAGCATTTAACCATTGTTCAGTCAGAATTTGATCATTGTTCGATCGGAAATCAATCTTGTTCGGCTGCAATTCGACCTTGTTCAGCTACAGCAGAAAACTGTTTCTTATTCCCTAATACATCCGAACAAGTCACTGTCAGGGTGCCTGCCATGCTTACCTGGGTTGGAAACTGTTTGCAGAAGGGAACCTCTCCTCAGTCCTAGGCTTCAGTCCAGCGATTCCAATGCCGGCCGCTGTGGCTCTGTCTCCTTTTATGATGCGGCACGCTAGCGCCGACGTCATGACGCAAATTACGTTACCGTGGTGCATGCATGCCGACGTCATGATGCTAATGACGTCACAGCCCGCCAAAACATCTGAATTCAAAAGTTTTAAGGGCGTGACTTAAAAATGAAAGAACCAGAATATAAAAGGCTGGTTCACCTATAGCACTTTGCCCTGTTGTGGTTCTTACAGCTCCAATAGCGTGTTATATACTTGTATTGTACTCTTGGCTTTGACTTTGGCTTCATTGACTACTCTACCTTCTGTTACCTTTGACTCGGCTTTTGTACCCTTGCTCGATTTCTAGTTCCCCAGACCTCGGCTTGTTCCTGTTTACTCTCTGTCCTTGTGACGTTAGCCCGGCCATTCTAAGGTCCGGTACACGTTATTATTCCATTACACTCTGCGTATAGGATCCCTATATTTCCTGACAATACAACAGGGCCATGATGGATCCGGCAGGTGTAAGTACCCAGGCAGGTCCATATGATGCCTGTTTCGAGGAAATGGATCATCGCATGGATCAAATAGCCCTTGCTTTACATATCTTGATAAATCGGTCTGCTCCTGGACTAGATGAAGGTCATACTCCCTCAGCATCCCCCTGCTTACTGGGCTTGAGGTGGCTACAGTGGGTGCCTCATCTCATGTCAAAGCACCATTATGTTATGGTGGGGCACCAGAGGCTTGCTGTGGGTTTTTAAACGAGATTAGTATCCAATTTGAACTCCAGCCTTATTCCTATCCTACGGAGAGAACTAAGGTGGGCTTCATCATAACACTCTAGTGGATAGAGCTTTGACTTGGGCAAATACTCTCTGGGAAAACGACAACCCAATAGTTTACAACTATGTCGCTTTTGTAGAGACTTTCAAGCATACTTTTGACCCCTTCGTAGAAAGGCCAATGCAGCCAGGTCTCTCATTCGTCTTAGGCAAGGAAATAGAACCTTGGTAGAGCATGCGCTGGAATATATGTCTCTAGCATCTGAGGTTGGTTGGAACAATCAAGCTTTTGTGAATGTATTCCTGAACGGTTTATCAGATGCTATATTAGATGAGATAGCTACCAGAGATCTTCCAGAAAACCTAGAGGAGTTAATAACTTTCATATCACGTACTGATGAAAGCATGAAGTACAGACAAAATACCAGAGACAGGCCTAGAAGCAGGGGCGTACCTAGAGCATTTGGCACCCGGGGCGGATCCTGTGCTTGGCAACCGTCCCCCACAAAAAAAAAAAAAAACCTGTAAAAAAATTTTAAGGGTCTCTTTTTTTTTTTTTTACAATTTGTAAACTTTGCAAAACCGCTGTCAGCACCTCCTACAAAACCTCTGTCCTGTCCCTTCTCAAATCCTGTACTGCCTCGTCTACAAAACCCCCGCAACCACCTTCCACAAATCCCCTGCTTATCCCCCCTTATAAAGACTCCTGTCCCAATACAAAACCCCCACCCCCTTCTACAAAATCCCTGCAGCCCCACACACACATTTGCAGGCAGACAGTCACACACTCAGTTACAGACAGTCACACACTCAGTTACAGGCAGACAGTCACATACAGTCACAGGCAGACAGTCACACATACACATTTCCTCCGTGCGGCCAGTTTATCAGCTGTTTGCTTGTGTGAGCTGTACTGGCCGCACGGCACCCTAACTACCATGGGACACTGTGCGGCCACAGCTCACACAGCCCCCTCCAGCCAGGGCCGGTGCAAGGATTTTTGCCGCCCTAGGCAAAAGTAAAGTTTGCCGCCCCCCCCATGTGACATCACAATGCCTCACCCATATGATTTGCCATGTTAACTAACGCCAGTGCTGCAGTGCCGCCTGCAGGGACAGGCTATAGACACCAGAACCACTACATTAAGCTGAAGTGGTTCTGGGGACTATAGTGTTTCTTTAATGTGAGGTAAATTAGAGCTTAGTGCCACAAATAATATACTAGATTGCCTACTTACAACCAGATGAGGATGATGATGGGCTCTAGCTGCAGTCTGGCTCCACTGGTCTGGTGCAGAACAGGCTCTCTGGAGGCGGTTTGTAACTGTGGTCACAAAAATCAATGTTCTGGGAGAACGGGAAGCAGCTCCATTTTTTGGGGGTCCTTTACACAGCTCAAGGTCTGGGTCCCAGGGTCCACCTTCATGTTCCACCAATGAGTTTGTTCACAGGGGGTGGAGTGTGTAGGGGATGTCCTGATATGTGTGTAAGGAATGCATTGTGTGAAATTGTGTTTGTATGTGTAAGGGCTGCAAGGTGTGTTTCTGTGTATGTATGGGATGCATTGAATGTGTGTAAGGGGTGCATTGAGTGTGTGTAATGAATGCATTGTGTGTTTCTGTGTGTGTAAGGGATGCATTGTGTGTAACGGTTGCATTGCTTGTGTGTCTGTGTGTGTAATGCATTGTGTGTTTTTCTGTGTGCAAGGGGTGCATTGTGTGTATGTGATGAATGTCAATCTCTCCTCCCGCTCCAATTTCCTTCTCCTCCTCCCAATTTCTCTTTCTCACCCCCCTCCTAATTTCTCTTTCCCCCCTCCTAATATCTCTTCCCCGCTCCTAATTTCAATTTCTCTCCCCCCCTAATTTCTATTTCTCTCCCCCCCTAATTTCTCTTTCCCCCCTCCTAATATCTCTCCCTCCCTCCTAATTTCTCTTCCCCCCTCCTAATTTCTCTCTCACCCCCCTCTCCTTTCTCTTTCTCTCCCCCTCCTTTCTCTTTCTCACCTCCTTTCTCACCCCCCCTTTCTCCTCTTTCTCACCCTCCCTCCTTTCTCACCCCCCTCTCCTTTCTCACCCCCCTTTCTCACCTGCTCCTTTCTCACCCCTTTCTCCTCTTTCTCACCCTCTCTCTCCCTGCCCCTTTTCACCCCTCCTCCTTTTCACCCCTTTCTCCTCTTTCACCCCTCTCTCCACCCCCCTTCTCCTTACCCCCTCTCTCCTCTTTTTCACCCCTCCTTTTTCACCCCCTTTCTCCTCTTTCACCCCCCCTCTCTCCTCCCCCCTTTCTCCTTTTCACCCCCCTTCTCCTCTTTCACCCCCCCTCTCACCCCCTTTCTCCTTTTCACCCCCCTCTCTCCTCTTTTCACCCCCTTTCTCCTCTTTCCCCCCTCTTTTCTCACCCCCTTCTTTCTCTCTCACCCCCTTTGCTGTAGCGTGGCCGAGCCCAGTATAGTCCGCGGGTACAGAGAGCAGCTGTCTCCTGTACCCGGCCGGACTAACAGGAAGTGCACACTCAGTGTTCCCTTCCTGTTAGTCCGGCAGGGTACAGGAGACAGCTGCTCTCTGTACCCGCGGACTATCATGCTGCAGGGCTCGGCCACGCTACAGCAAAGGAAGCTGACAGGAGGGAGCACTGAGCGCTGAGCGCTCCCTCCTGTCAGCCCCCTTTCTCAGGCTGCGCCCGGGCGGTGCGGTCCACCCTCATGGACGCACTGCCCGGGCAAAGCTGCAGCCGCCTGAGACTCACTACAGAGCGCTCGGGCGGCTGCAGCATGGGGGGGGGGCGGCGGGGCTGGTCATGGCACCCCCCACCCGGCTGGCACCCGGGGCGGACCGGCCCCCCGCCTCCCCCTTAGTACGCCACTGCCTAGAAGGGCATGTATTCGTATGGCCCCTGTATATAACAACCCTGACTTCATGGCACTAGCTTTAGCAATTGGGAATGACTAGGTTAAGCAAGGCCGAACGTCAATACGGGCAAAGAAAACATCTCCATTTAAATTGCCCTAGCAGGCCAGAAAACTCTCGCACCTAAGTCCTTATGGGGGACAGGCCTTGGGTGTTTCTTCTTTGTCCTCCATAAAGAAACATAAAGATCACAGGCTTCTTATTCACATCACCTTAACCTGGGATAAAAACATAGTTAAGACAATGGCCTTAATAGATTCTGGTGCAGCAGAGAACTTCATTGACTAGAATTTTGCCATTGAGAAAACTCTTCCTTCCCGGTTAAGAGATACATCCTTGGCTGTTGAGGTCATAGATGGTAGACCCCTCCAGGTACCTGTGTTTTACACCAGGAGATTTGTGTGCTCCAAGTGATCACTTCCCTGGCTTTCCCAATAGTGTTAGGGTTCCCTTTGCTAAGAAAGCATAATCCAACTATCAATTGAGAGAGAGGTGATAT